CAATGACAGTCAAGTATGTGTATGTGTATGTATATATATATATATATATATATATACACACATACTGACTTTATAACCAAAGAAAGCTAAAGCAAACCATTCAAACTGTTTGCAAATATAATTGCCCCCAGGTCTGACTAACTATAAAATGGCATGCTTTAGTGTCTGGTGTCCTTAATGCACTGTAGTGTACAACTGGAGGAGGTGCAGTATGAGAAGTGGTGGAGCGGATCCGTTTGGCTCTTATCCGATGACGGGCAGTTCAGTTGGAGGAGCCGGCATGCTGACTGGCACATAGTGTGTGTGTGAGGTGTGCAAACAGTTCCTCTGGGTTTTATTCAATGAGCCCCTGTGTCTCCTGTCTGTCACTTCTACAGTGTCTGACTGCAACTGAGAATAAAAATGATGTGAAGGGGAAATGCTAAAAAAGGAAGATGATAAAAATTCACCACAGCAAAAACCTGAAAAGTGCCATGTGGGAGAAGAGCCCGTATGAAATACTCTCTGAGTTGTATAGAGGATCACAGAGATCTTCTGAATTACAGATCCAAACAGTGATGTATTAGAGAGAAAATAAAAAATAAACACAACACTGATGATGGGAGGGATTGGAAGGGGCTCCTCTCTCCTATACCTACCTCACTGAACATGGACATTACTGTTGAGCATGAGCAGGAAGGAGTTAGGAAGGAGAAAGGGAGGGACGACGGGGAGGCAGGGAGGGAAGAAAATAGACCAGAAGCTTAACATGCTGGTGCATGGCTATGCCTAAAAGGAACACTACTCAACAGAAGGTGAATCAAACCAAAATTAACCTAAAATATATTGTATATTGATGAGGTCATGAGGAAAAAGAAACTCAAACACATGACTACTGTTAAAAAATCTCATTGGATGGAATCACAGGATCACATCGTTTGTTCATGAAATTCTTGTTAATTATAAATGATTGTGATTTGTACTTTTAATTCAACATTTATTTACCATTACAGCAGTTTATCTGAACCAATTGTTACACTCTTCCTGTATTTGAAGCTGTAGTGTGTTAGAGGTTCCTTTAAAAAAAATAGCATTTTTTTTCTGCTCTTTTGGACAGCTATTATAATCTGCACTGACAAATCATCTGAAAACAAAATCTAGATGATTAAATTTCATAGTTGCAGACCATTTTCATAATTTTGTTTTTGTCAAAGGATTATATGCACCAAAATAATTTCTTAATCTGAATGAGCACAGGGTTTTATAATCTCTTTAGGCATCTATCTCCTTAAAGTCTTTAAAGTAGCTTTGTAACTAACTTTGTCCTAATTCCCAGCCCCATTCACCTCCTTTACCCCCGCTCTGTAAACCACCACACTTCTTACCGGATAAAGAACCGCCACACGGTCCAGGTAAAGATGAGGACGATTCCTAGAAACCAACACTGCATGATGAAGAAGGGGATGGGCAGCATGATGGTGTTGGGGTCATACTTGACCACTATGAGGAACTCGGTCACTGTGATTGCTGCCACCAGCCACGCCTGCTGGCCTAGCTTCTTGTGGAACTTCCTGATGGGAAAATAACAAGGAGTCATGGAAAGGTAATATAACTGGGAGGATTTTTTACTGGTTATAGGAGTGCTTGTGTGTGTGAGAAAATACCGAAATACACATTATATTGTAGTAGTAGTTAAGGTCAGTGGGACTCTGTCTAAAAGCAGCAGCACAGTTAAACCCATCAATTTAGACAAAGCTGGGGGTCAAAATGTATAGCTGATATTTGTCCCTCCAGTTTCCCATCATTGCTAACTGAATTCAAGTCACTATGCTATAGTAAGTTGCACTGGACGTTTTTGTTGGATTCTGTTACTAATAATGCCACAAATTCAGTGCTAGTGTGTGTGTGACAACATAAAGCTTTCCTCAAAGGTGACATTAATGAAATGACCAAAATAGTTTGGCCCTCTCGAAAAAGTGTTGCCAATTGTTAAAGACAATGCACTGGTGTTTAAATATTTGTCAGATATTAGTGAGATAGATATGTCAATATCGCTTTTCCGTATGTGGATGCGATAAGCTTACATTATCAGTCAGGTAAATACACTCACTCCCTAAGCTACTCTGAGGGTTTGCCAACATTAACCTCACATGCAGTGCATGCTGCAGTGTTTCCCACACATTGGTTTTACTTGGGAGGTTTGCCTGAGTATATCTGGAGACTCATTTTAGCATTTTTTATTTTTTAAACATCTGGGAGAACAACGCTTGATTAACTAGTGGACAGCTCCACTCCTGCTTTCTCCCTCCAGCAATCTATATTTGACAATCGCACATACTCTGCAGAGAAACAGAGAGAGAGAGAGAGACATTATCTGACATTCCATTAAGACGTGGACGTGCATATTTCACAAGCACAGACGAGGTAAACACCTGGTTTTGGTACCACGTTCGTTTTGACCGTTTCAATATGTTTTGTCTTTAACCACAAGCCTCCTCCACACACAACTCACCTGCTGTTGTGAAAACGCAACCGCAGGTGAAAAAGTTGTTTTTTGGGCGACTTTATAAAATATGCTGAGCGTGGGGCAATGTAGGCAATGTGGTACTGGTCTTTGGGGAGCGCTCTCTTAGCACAGAACTGCTAATATAAGTTTTAATGGCCTATTGAGATAACTAACACAGACTGAGCATCCATAAACACTAATTGTCAGCAACATGTCTCTTTACAGAATGAAATAATTTATTCCACTACCAGCCAGCTTAATGCTGCTACTCACGGGTCATCCATGAAGTCGTAGATTTCCCTCATGGCTACGCCTCCCACGTTGACAAAGAAGACCAGGCGGAGCAGCACCAGGTAGTGTTCAGGAGGCATCCACAGCACAAACTTCAGGTAGAAGGTGTTCAGCTCCGCCAGGAGGAACTAGAAAGGGAGGAATAGATTATTTATTCCCTACACTGATTATCTAAATATATCTACATTTGTGGGTGGTGGCTCATCATATTTAGATATATTAATAATGTGATTAAATTAAGAAAATGACTACTACTGACATTTGACCAACTTTAAAAATGTTATAAAATGTTATCAAAAATAAGAAATGCAACGTCTATGTAGCAACATAGCTTTAGGAAAAAGCTGAGCACAAGACAATGTCTTAAGAAGCCTCTACTGAATAGTTATAAAAGCCTATTATATAACAACAATCAAAAATGGAATCATGTTACAATGATAACAAAGAAAGAAAAACAGCAGATTATCTTGATCGTCACCGATTCATTTCCTGTCAACAAACTGGGAGCTATACTTAAGAAGCGTAAGCAAAGTGGACTCATTGTTGGTAATGTAGAGTATGTTGAGGACATGTATGATGAAAGTACGCATTTCAATTTCAATAATTTTTCATTGTATTGTACTGTAATCTCATCATTTGCCATTATGACACAAAGTGTTTACGTGTAAATAAAACAGGATATTTCTCACCATAAAGATGATGCCTAACACAGCAAGCCAGCGCTGAACTGTTGAAGCAGGCTTCCACTCAAACTTCACCCAACTGTATGGTGTGAACTGGAATGCTATACGCTTGATCTTCCCCCTGGGAGGAACACAGTAGAGATATGGTCAGAAACAGGCACACATTTCTAAGACAGCAATGTTGGAACTCTTAATACAAACACACTAATTCATGTTATTTCAAAGGTCAAAGAGGTTCTGTCAAAACCTAAATCCTATGGAATCTTTTCGGCCTTGTCATTGTCTCGGGGGAGTTTCTCTCTCCAGTGTTTGTTGCTTCAGTGCAGCCTTTGCCTGAGTTACATTTTTTTTTGTTTTTTGTTTTTTTGTTCTTGCTGTCCCTCCTCCGTGCAGGCCTGAGCCCCACCCGTGGTGAAACTCCTTCATGCTCTTACACACACACACACACACACACACAGAGCTCAGCAGCAGAGTGGAGGAGAGACAGACAATGGCGAGTTGACGACGGATGCACTTGTTGCGTTGCTGATACGGTTCAGTTAAAGAATGCCTTGATTGGCCCTGATACCGATCTTTGAGATCGTATCGAGACATCCTTAGTTTCAGTTCTACAAGAGGAGAGTACTGATGGTGTCTTAATGCTGTTCTGAATAAACCAAATGCTGCTTTACAAAGTGACAAGACTTACTTGTACGTAGGAATGTTCCACAGGCCCTGCCACTGGTAAGGCTTCATTGACAACCAGGCCAGCGTTTTCATGCCACAGTAGATCCCCAGACCGTTACACAACAACACATCCATGATCCACTAGAGAGATAAACATAACACTTTTATCAAAGGGGAAAGAAAACGTATAGTAATGCTTCTACACAACCGTCGTTAGATAAGGGTTAGTGTGGTTGACTGATATCTCCCTGACTCTTTTGAAACTACAGTTTGATGACCTCAAAATGATCCCAGCAATGCTCTTCATACCTCACAAAAGTGTTTGTGACAGTAAATAAATAAGTAAATAAGTGAGTAATTAAGTAAGTGGTCTTAATTCCTAGTCTACTTAATATGTTTTTACAGTAAACAGTTTATCCTTGTATGATAACCCCACTATTCATCGGTTTGCTCGATTATGTTGCTCTATTGCTTTCTAATGGTGTTCACATGATTTTCCCTGCTATCAATTGTGTTGCTGCCTAGTTTCCCACTGGTATAATAAAAAGTTTATTACTACACAATGAAATGACCATTTAATTGCTATCATAAATCTCAACAGCAAAAGGTATACAGCTTCCATACTGCAGCAGCAGGCATCAGGTACCAGGATATAAAAAAATAAAAAAAAAATCACAATTTTATTCATGTTAGACACTGCTTCATGTTGTGCTTTAACCAGTCAGTGCACTGCAGAGCAGCACCTCAGGACTACAGTGACCTTTGCACACGGTGAGGACTCTACCAATCTGTTTTGCTGGATAGCTTGTGAAAAAACAAGATGGAGTTGCAACTGTTTATGAGCAAAAGTTGCAGGTTAACTATGACTGTCACAGTGCGACAGATTTCCAATAGCCACGTTTACTGCACCCCTCCCCTCCGATGTCTGCAACTTCTAGTCGTGTCTGTTCTCACAGTGAGTCACAGGAATCTCTATCTAATGTGGACACGTTTGTACAAACACACGTGGAGTAACACTGACTATACTATTCATATTTAACACCATTCTGAGAACCTGCCACATTATATTTAGTTATTTCACTTCTTTATTCGACACCGTCAGTGCATGACACAGACATGAACAGACGTCTGCACATGTCAACATGTTTCTCAAAAGTGGTGTACAAAGAAGTGTTATGTAATACTACTTATTTTACTGGTCTTGAATTGGCAAACACATTTTTTATCTACCGACATTTAGCTTTTCTTCATCATTAACTTCACATTATTATAAATATGACAATTTGTCAACTTCCTGGTTTATATTTTTTATTCTTATATATGCCGAGACCCTTTAAAATGTAACATCTTTCCTCCTGAGGGCACACTTGCTGATTATTAGGTAAGCAAAGGAGATGAGCAGTTATATTTGTACATACATGGTCCCACCAGCACTCGGAGAAGTTAGGTAACTGGTGCTCCAGGCTGTATTCAAGGAACTCAAACATGACGCTGATTATCATACACATCCACCAATCCCGAATCATCAGCGTCTGAGGAATAAAAGAGAGCACAAGGGAAGGGTGAGTAGGAGGAGAATAGTGTGGAGTGGGAGGAGGTCAGCAAGATACCATAGAAAGAAACTTAACATTTTTCTGCTCCATATGCAACAAAGCACACCAATGCTGTCAGTCTGTTTCATATAACAGCAGGTTGGACACCTTGGTTATAAGTCTATTACAGAAATGTTTTTAAGGACACGTTTTTAATATGATCAGATCATGAGTTGAAATGGCAACTTTAATAGCCTAGTCTGATTCTTTATTTGAAAATGAATGATTTGGGTGATTGCAATCTTAGTGAGTCAGATTTATGACAATCTCTGTATTTAAATGTGTGTCTAAGAAACGGTTGTCATGCAGGGGCCTGCCAACAGGACTGGATAGTAACAGTACAGTTGAAATCAGTCAATTAGTGCACACAGGTGTAGAGAGGTGTTCAGCCCACTCCATATCTACCTTGATATACCATCCCAGGAAGTGAGCTGGAACAAAGCCATCCATCTTGTCCTGCAGAGACAAACCAACGATTTCCTTTAACAAGTTCTCCTCACAAAAAATTTAAATAATCATTATGCAACCCTACTCTTGAATACAAGTCTCTATGCTCTAATAAAAGTACCACATCTAGTTCACATCAGTACCAGATATGAGCACAGTGAGTGCTGGGTCACTAAACAAAACAAAACAAAACTTGCCTGGGCATCGTAAAGCCCAGGAATAAAATGCATTCAAAACCAGTTCTCTTATGTGTTTTTTTTAACAGTATTATTCAACCACATAGCATTTCTATTCAGTTCTTCCTGCCTTGTAGTTTAACATTTGTTATGGTACCAAAATACCACCTTACCAAATGCAAAATCTCCTACAACTCCAAATCTGTTTTATTTTAAATACAATTTACTTTTTAATATCTGATCATACAGATTTGACATTTAAAAAAGGTTATTCACATAGGCCAGCTGTAATTAAGTGGAGGATGTGGTGGTGTGACCCACTGTGAGACACTGAAATCAGGCCAACAGTAGTGATGGGGACTCCGAAAGAGAGAGAGAGAAAGAGAAAGGTTGAGGGAGACTGATTGTCAAAGTGTGTGAATGGATGAGGGAGATAAACAATAAGAATAAAATAGTCTCACCCAGATGTTGTGGAAGGGGTCGGTGGTGTTGCCTGGGTCGTACATGAGGCAGTTTCCTCCGTAGTCGCGCTCAGGGAGGGCTACCCCGAGCTTGGGGTCAATGTACTTCATGAACTGTCGTCCATCATGCACCGTCTAGATAAACGGGGTTTAGAGGAGAAATACAGAAAATATGAGCACTTGTTCTCCCTGAAAGCTTTTATGGAGACACAGGGACATACTGAAAACGAAAGGTGTATGTTGCAATTTGCTTTCCACCATTATTACAGACAATTGACATATTTAGAATATGGAATGGTTTGGAAATAAACAGCTGCTCTATTTAATCACAGATACACATTTCTCTACAATTTGTTTAAATCTGTTTGAATTTATGAATCTGGGAACTCTTTACAGCATGTTCTTAAAAAAAATGTTTGGTGTCAATGAATCGTACATCTTTGTAGCACAACACTACAGTTTTTAACACTGGCTTTCAACAAGCTACCACTTAAATGTTCCTTCCAAGAGTAAAGAAGGTAGAAGATTTCAAATTTGTTTTAAACATTGTTCAGACCTGATTAAGACAGTTTGCTAGCTGTAAAGTATGGCTATTTTAAAGGGTCTGGCTCAATGACAGACATTTTAATTAAATTGGGAGAGAGCAAAGAGGCTTCCAGGGTTCCAGATGTAGGAGGATCACAGCAGAAAAAGTAGCACAGATTGGCGCAGAACTCTGAACAAAATCCTACATTTTGGCGAGTGTTTAGCCCTGGTTTTAAGATGCTCCACCACGTTTTTCAGGATGTAGTTGCTTTACTTTAGTTTGTAGAAAATAAGGTTCAAACCAAAGGTCAATGTGAATAGCCAGAAAATTGAAAGTCTCAGTCGTGAGAGATCTGTAGTTGTGCTGCCTCGTTCTGGGGGACTGAGGCGCCAAAATTGTCAAGTGAAATACCTGTGAAAGACAAGCATGCAGTGTAATTGATATTTTATGTGTGCGTGTGATTACTATACAATGTTCCCCTATGGCATTTAATGTATGACGAGGTTGTTTCAGCCCATCAAGGCATCAATGTCAACGGCACACCAACCTGAAATAGTATGAAGATGAGGAACAGCTCGTAGACGACAGTGACACAAAGCCAGAATCGCCAGTAGGCTAGAGAGAGAGAGAGACAAAGAAAAAGAGAGAGAAAGAAAAAGAGAGAAGGAGATGGTGAGAGTTGTAGCAACAATTTACACTGAGCACTCCTTTGGACAGAAGGAAACATGTTGGATGACATCTAGGAATTAATAGGACTTCACATATCAAAGATTAGGTACATGCTATACAGTCTCGAGTAGAACTGACTGATGCTTTATTTTGTGTTGAGTACCAGAACGTCTCTCTCTCAGTTTGACACACTTTGCTGACAATCCTAACTTGACCTTGCCATTTCTGTACTGCCTCACTCAGTTCACAAGCACTTGTCACTCAACACTCCATGAAGAATTACAATGCTTAGTTATGTCTTGTTAATTTCTATGTTCCTGTCCTGATTTTGACAGCAACGACTGAGTGCTCCAGTCAGAGGGATTGCAACAGATAATCTGGTTTCCATTAAAGTTCAGCTTCAAAAGTAGATTTTATTTTTAAATAAAGTCACGTGGAAAGACTAATAGTGGCAGTGGTAAAAGCCTGAAGCTATCATAGTTCACAATAAATGCCCCACAAAAAGATTAAACTCAACTGTTTCTGTTATTGTGAATCAATGTGTATGAGATCAGTTCGCTGTGACACTCCCAGCCGGCGATCCACCGGGAATTGACGGTTGTAAGTCTTAAAGTCCCTCTGGGTCTGCAACAGGGTGCACAACAACTGAACCTACTTGGCTGGCTCAACAGGTCAGAGAGTATGACACAGGCACTTACAGACACGCAAACAAAACCTCCTTGTCTTTCGATCCACAAAGGGAGGGGGCAAGAAGGCACCAGTAATGCAACAGCAGCAGCCCAAATTCCTGCCCGGCCACTTCACGCCTCCAACAACCAACAACATTCAGTGTGTGTTTCCATGTGACCTCCACACCCTATTATCTTCCTTCCTTCCTTCCTTCCTTTCCCTCTGGAGTTACTGGGAAACATGTTGTGTGAGAGACGAGATGAGTCTTTGGCATGAATGACGTGGTTAAGAAATGCATTGTTTAGATAGAAACATTCTCATTATAGTGTGTAGTATAATTATTATTATAAATATAATTAATTAATGACAAAGCACATAAGTACTAACATACCAACTACCATTCATTTTAACGTGTGTGTTTACCTGAACCACAGGATTTATCGGCTTTGTCCTCAAATAGCTTTTTAATCCAGTGTTTGTGGAAAACTTGTACGATCTGTAAGGGATATTTTAACCGGAAAGCTGTTTGATCACTTTTCCTCTCTCCTTTCCTTTTATTTCCTTTCCTTTCCTTTCCTTTCCGTTCCTTGTAGCTGTCCCTCAAGCCCATCATCTAACACAAGCTCAGATTCTTTATCTAAGCCTATTGCTGCTGGAGTGGAACTAGAAACAAACACCTGCATCAGAGGTGTCCGGTTGCACTATTGGGTTACTAGAAATTAACACCTGCCAGCCACTCAGAATTGAGAATTCACAGTGACCGTGGTATAATGCCAAGTACTATGTTTAGTAACTATATTTAACGGTTGGTGTTAAGTTACTGCAATGAATCCATGTAAATTTGCCTCAATCTCATGGATACAGTGTGTGGTGTAAACAGAAATAAGACCAAATAAGAACAAGTCTTTTATGTTTGTTGTCTGCAACTAAACAGCACCTCGCTGACCTGTGAGAGAGGTTTATGTTAGCTGGGCTGAGAATGTCCTGTTAAAGGGAGTGCATCATTTTCATGAGTGAACTATTCATGAGCACCATTAGTCCTTTAGTTATTACTGCTATAAGCCAGGAGGACAAAGATGTTCACCCAGAGCGGACTTGTTTTTTGGTGTTTCATTTGTTCTGTTATTTGATTGGACGTAACCCATGCCAGGAAAACACACCACCAGCTTTCAACAGAGTTCTTAATTTACTCAGATGTCTCTTTTATTTTGACAAATCTATTTAGCTATCCATTGTGTGTACTGATCCCCACCACTCAGAAGATCTTTATTTCATATTAGAGGCCAGCATGATACTTTCAAATGTTGCTATTGATCGAATTAGTAGTAACTGCTCTGAGGTACTCTTACCTCTCTTCATGGGAAAGAGACGGAGGCACAATCAATGCGTCTTTAAAAAGTCAGATTCAGCACCTGAGCTTCTCCTGATAATAGCATGCTATATGAGCAGCGTAAAGCTCCTGTCAATTACTGTAATGGCAGATATGTTTTCAGTTTCACAGTCTGTAAACAAGTGCTTTTAAGTGCTTAGGTGGCTGTTCGTAGATGCATTTGAACCTTTTCACTTATCTGAATGTTGCAACAGGGCAAACAAATGTCACTTTGACATATTCTGGACATGATTCAGAGTGGAATAAAACATCTCTGCAAAAGCTTGGCCCACTCAAATTCTGAGAAATTTAACCTGCATTGCACAAGATGTAGGTCCATATTCTGTGGCTTTTACAGACTGAAGAATGTTGCCATAAAACTGATGAAAGAAAATTGCAGAAAGAATTTGCTATTCTTACCTGGATGTGGTCTGGTGAAGGGTCCATCTTTGGCTTGTGTCACTCCAAAACAGAGGAACACCAGGATGCTTGCCACAATCCCCCTAAAGGACCACAAGGAAAAACACAAAAGAAAATGCAATTTAAGTTATACAACTTACAACAGATAAATCTTAATTTATGCGTTGGTTTACAAGCACCATGGTCATTACTGTCAAACTGAACATATTTAGACTGACAGAGATGTTTGAGTTATTCACGGCCAACAGTTGCCTCCTCTGGCAGAAGGTAGTCTGTGTTAATGTTGTTCAGTCCAAAAAACACTAAAATAGGTCATGAATTTGGGGAAAATGTTCTTTCCTTCTTGATGTGAGAGTGCTGTGTGCTGGAGTAGCTAAACCCAGCAGGAATTACTTGCTAGCTAAGATTTAAATCATCAAACTGCATGATTTATTGAAATGTCTTGGCAAAAGCACTTTGTGAAATGCAGGGTGTGACAATTTTGGTCGCACATGCAACCAAAAATCTGTCACGTGCAACTAAACATTTTCATACGTTGCACCGGTGCACCTGATATTTAGCAGATCGGATAAAAACACAGACACGTGGCCGGCAGAGCAGCCCGCCTGCAGGCTGTACAGGTTGTTTTTTTGCATGGGTAATCATTCTGCAGGGTGTGAGGTCGGGTCTCGCTGTCTCTGCAACTCTGAATTGTGTGTTTATGATGAACAGCAACCACAAATCATTCTGCCTTTACGCAACAAAAATAAACTGAGAATTTTGTTGGGGTTTTAACATTTTTGGGGGATTTGACATCATAACATTTGAAAAAAAGACATTCGGTACAGGCCTACACTTGAAAACAGTTGAGGTTATAGTGATTTCTTGTTGAGTGTACTGTGATTTCAATACAGAAAAACATTTATCGGCAGTATTATTCCTGTTTACGATCATTTACATAATGTGTTAAGAA